ACAAATTTATAAAAGCTGACAAACACCCTAAATCAGAAAATACAGAAAAATTCGCTCCTTGGTCAGAAGCCTGTGGCTAAACGGCACCCCCTGCCCAGGTCAGGTGGGGGTTGTTGGTAAAAGAACCAGCTTGCACTGACCAGGCCCTGTGTGTCCTCTCTGCACAGTGGAGGAAACTGAGGCTGAGGTGTGGGGAGGGCTTGTGTGAAGTGGTGAGGGTGGACACAGGAAGGGACACATGTTCTGCTGCTTGCACATCCCAAACCTGTGGCAGGTGGCCCACACAGGGGCCTGGCTGCTTTGGTGTCCCCCTCCCCCTTCCATGGGGCCCTGCTGAGAGGGGGCAGCCCCCTGCAAGGCACACAGGCATCAGTGCTTCCGACTCTGGCCTAACCGCCATCCCCACCCCCAGACGCCTCCTTCCCCTCCAGATGTGGGCACAGCTGTATTTTTAGAACAGCCGACCACACGGACATTCTTTCCTTCTAATTAAGATGGCTTCAAATCTCTCATCTGCAATCAGCCCCACTGTTCAGTCCTCAAATATCAAAGGGTGGTCAGGAGGGGCCTCCTCAGCTGGTTGTAGGGTTGGGGTTGGTTTTTTTTCCCCCTTCTTTCTTTTTTTGGAACCATTAAGTTGGAAATGAGACCCAGAACCTGAGTGAACGCCAGCTTGCAGGAGGAGGGCCCAGCAGGCTCTGGGGTAGAGTTTGTAGGAGCTGCCCCAGGGCCTTGCTCTGTGCTCTCTCTCACCTCTGCTGCGACCGCCCAGCTAGGCTGCAACCCCCCACGTTCCCCTACCCAAGGTTAGGGTCTGTCTTAGACAAGGGAGGGGATCCAGAGAGGGCCTGGTGTCTGCCTTCAGGGTGATCAGTCCAGGGAGGGTCGACAGGCACCATGGGGGCCCAGGGCTCAGTACCGTGGGGAAGGGGGGCTGTCAGCTGTTTCGCTGTCCCCATTTTACAGGAGAGCAAACTGCGCTTGGAAAGAGGAAGTGCCTGTTAAGAAGTGCGGGAGCCCCACTGGTGTGACCAAAGCGGGTTTGTGTTCCAGTACTGCCCACCCTGGCAACCTGGTGCCCAAGGTCAGCAGGCCCCTGAGCTCTGCCCTGCAACACCGTCAGGAGGCCCCTGGTGTGGAGCAGAGACAGAGACGCCAGACCAAGTGGGGGACTAGGAAAGGCTACCAGGCGCCTCCGAGTGCCCTGGAACCACCTGGAACCCAGGCTGCCGGCTTTGCAGCTCTTCCTCCACACCAGCGACCTCAGCCCCACTGACAGAGGAGGAAACCGACGCTCAGAGAGGCGCAGAGCCGCCCAGCCCACTAGAGACGAGGCCCCCAGACGGCCGCAATGGCTCCTGCCGCCGGGCTGCGCCCTGGGGGAGGCGAGGGGTCCTGGGGTCTAGCCTGAGCCCCGCCTCCAGGTGCCGGGCGCCTGGGCAGGGGGAGGCTCTCGGGCGGGCAGAGGCAGTTGGGGCCAGACGCCTGGCTTCCAGGTCCGGGGCCCACCAGGGCCGCGCCGGGTGTGGGGACAGGAAGTGAAATCGCCCCGGGACTCGCGCGCCCAGGGGCCGAGCCACAGGGAGGACGAGGCAGAGGCGGGGCGGCTGCCCCCAGAAGCGCCACCCCACCCGGCGGCACCCGGCCGCGGGCCGCCTTTGTTCCGCCGGCCCGGCGGGGCGCTCAGCAGCTGGCGGCCCGGGCGGCCCCGGCCCCTCAGAGCCCGGGCTCTGTCGCCCCCTCGCGGCCGGAGCCGGTCTCGCCGGCGTCGGGGACATCCCCAGAGGCCGGAGGGGGCGGGGCATAACGGGGCGGGGCCGAATGGATGGGGCGGGCTGACCCCATTCATTCTCCGAGGGCCGGAAGTCTCGGTCCAGAGGCAGAACCTCTGGGACGCCCCTCGCTCCCAACCCCGTCTCCCCAGGTCCGAGTAACGGCCAGGGGCTGGCAAGGTGGCCCGGCCGCTTCTGCGGCGCTTAGGAGCAGAAGAGCTGGTGGGCTCCGGGGTGGGAGTCAACGTCACCAGCTGGCTTCGCTGGAGTGATTCTTTTTAGTTTGAGCTGCGCTCTTCCCTGTTTCATGCTGTGTGTCAGGGGCTGAATATCCCTGCCCGCTGTCTGCCTCAGTTTTCCCATCGGCAGAGAAAGAGGCCCTAGCGTGTAGGAAGGAGCGTGAACAACTGGTGGGTGTGGGCAGCTCCCCATCTCGCCTCGGAAACAGACTAGGGGATGCTCTTTCGATATCCCCCGCTCCGTGTCGGCCCCTCAGTGTGGTCTGAGGGCCCCTAGGCCGAGGGTCAGCCAGGCCGGACACGGTAATCCGAGGAAGACCAGCCCCGCTTGCAGCCAGGTTATATTATAGATTGGCGTGGGCACGTGCTTGACCTTGGGGAGCCTCAGAAATCAGCATCTGGCACCGCACAGGGCAGATGTGAGCACCGAGCTGCCACAAATACAGCTATGACTTTCACATGCTCAATGTTAAACTCCTGGTCAATGTTTGCTGAGGAGAAACTTCAAATTTCCTGGCCAAAGGATAATAATTACTGGCTGGGGAACCCACACACTGAGGGCCCTCAGTCCGGCGAGGGGGGGATGGGTTTAGGGCATCCAAGAGGCATTTCAGGGAGAACCAACAGGTGACCAGGTATCACAACAGTAGCTGGGTCAGGGTCACATCTCGCAGGGGCCTGGACTTACTGTTAAACCCAGTTTTGAATTTGGGACTTACCCACATGCTCACTCTCAAGCTTTTACTGCATATGTGTGTATACATACATACACTAGGTATGGTTCTGTATATTTCCAAACTTAATATAAAGGCATTACAGGGTAATGCATCTTTCTGCAACTTTGTTCACACAGCATTGTGATCCACCCAGGTTGATACCATTCTTCCGACCCACTGCTTTTCAGTGATGAGTGGTATTCTAGTATTCTATCACATTCCACAATTTATTTCTCCATTTTCTTGATGTTTGACATTTGGGTTGTTTCCAGTTTTCCCATGTCACAAACACTGCTGCTATTTGTGAACAGAAGTTCTTGAGCATGGGATTAAGAGTTTTTCCAAGGTAAGCTCAGGGATGGAACTGCTGGGATTGCTGGCTGGAGAGGTATATGCAACTCCAGTTTACCACATATGCCCAGATTGTTCTCTGGCGTCATCGCACCAATTTACATTTTAATCAACAGAATATAAGCGTTCCAATGAACCTTTAACAACACTTGGCATTGCCAGAGTTAAACTGTTAGTCCGATGAGTATGAACTGATATGCTGTTGTGGATTTAATTGGTATTTCTGGATGGCAAATGCAGGTGAGCATCTTTTCATTAGCTTTCTTGGCCACTTCAGTTTCCTCATCTGTGAATTCCCTGCTCATAACCTTTGTCCATTTTCTTTTCCTTACTGTACCTGGGAATTCTTCACATATTCTGAATACTAATAGTTGTTGGTCATATGCTTTTAGATACCTTCTCCTACTCTGTAGCTTTAGGTTCACCTTTATATAGTGTCTTTTGACACAGATTTTTAATTTTACTGACGTTAAATCCTCAGAAGAAATTTGTATGGTTTACTTTTATTTATCCTGAGGTTTTTTAAAAGTATTCTATATTTTCTTCTAAAATGTTTAAAGTTAGCTTTTTGCATTAGGTTTGTGTGCACCTGGAATGATTTTTGTGTATGGGGTGAGATATAGATCCAGTTTCATTCTTCCCCGTCATCAGTTATCCTAGCCACTATTTAGTAGATATCATTTTCCACTGGGTTTTTTAAGAGAGAAAAAGCAATGGGTGTTTTGAAAAAAATAAACCTATCTAAATGAAATATTAGTAGTTGAAACCAACATGTATTAATAGCAACAATAACAATACTATGATCAAGTTGTGTTTACCCCAAGAATTCAAGGACGGTTTAGGATTACAAAGTCTATGATGTAATTCATCTCACTAACAGATTAAAGGAGAACACCCAATACCATAATCTTAATAGACGCTGGAAGAGCATGCAATAAAATACCCATTCGTGGTAACTGCTACTGTATTACTCGTTGTGCTACTCCTTTAAATGCACGGTGTTTCAGAAATTAAAGCTCACTAATTAAAGCTCAGAAATTAAAGCTCAGAAATTAAAGCCCCCAGCAGCAAAGGTCAAACAAAAACAAAGCACGAGCAATGGAGACACCGCAGTACCTATTCTGGTGTCACAGTTTTTGCTCAGATGACTTCCTAAGGTCACTTACAGCTCTTGTGTTTCTGTGACCACAAATAGTCTCTTTGGCAAGACTGGTTTCAGTTGGCCTTTGTCCAACTCCTGGATTCCCTGCAGGGTCCAAGAAGCCCTGAGGAATCAAAGGTAAATTCGGTCCAGTGAACTCTGGTTCCTCACCTCCCAGCGCGCCCCGACCACGGGCGGGACCGGTCTCTCCCGCAAGGAGCCCCCCTGGCGGTAACCCGAGACCGGTTCCCCTCTCTGCATTCTATCAAGTTACTCAGTCTGCCCGGACGGACTGATGTGAGCGCTCCAGAGACTGGTGGGTCGGCCTTTCGGTCCCTCCTAATTCTGTCCCTTCTCTCGGGGAAGGATGAGGACGCCTGATCCGAGGGGTGTGTGCGGCGGGGTGGGGGGGGGGGGGGGGGGGATGGTGTTGGCCTGATGTGGCTGGTGGGGCTGTTGTCTGTGCAGAATCCCGGCTCGGCCCTCGGAGAGCGCCCGGAGCTGGGGCGCCAGGTGGGGGAAAAGGATGCCGGGCAGAGGGGGACGCACAGACGGAAGTCCGGCAGCGAGCCAGGCAAGGACCCCCAGAGATTCGTCCAGAGGCGACAGAGAGGCAGGAGGACCCGGAAGCATGGTGAACAGCGTCGCCTTCTGGGACCTGGACTGCAGGGGCTTGGCCGTGATCACCTCGGACCGGAGCTCCCTCCTGGTCTGCAGAGATGAGCCCCGGCTGAGTAAGCAGTGAGTAGCTTTTCAGACTTAGAGCTGCGGAAAGAGCGGGATGGAGGATGAGCAGGAGCCGCCCTTACGGCTGCGGACCCAGGTGAACCCCTCGTAGTGGCGGCCCCCTTAACAACCTGTGGGCCTGCGCATGCATCTCAGGCGCCCTCGCCGGCCTTCTAGCAGCTCTGAGGGCCACTGCGCCTGCGCTTGAGTCGGGTCGGCTCGCCCAGGCCGCAGGTAAGCGCCGAGCGCGCCCTGTCAGACCTTCCCTCAAGAACACTGCGCTTGCGTGCCTGCTCCGGCGTCGGCAGAGCTGGGCTGGCCAAACGCGCGCAGCGCATGCGCCGGCTACTCACCTGCCCGCACCCTCCCACCCCCACCCCCCGACTCTTTGCCCTTCCCTCCGCGCGCATGCGCCCCGCCCGTGCGTGCCGCTGGCCGCCGGGCTTTGCCTGCGACGGACGCAGCTCGCAGGCTCCTCTTCCTTCGAATGCCCGATGCCCTCCCGTGGTCGGAAAGGTCTGCATTCCGAAGCCCTCCCAGGCCGGGCGTTTCAGATGAGGGGTCGCAGACCCTGGTGAACTGCCAGGCGCAGCTGCCCGGGAGGCTTAAGGGAAGCGTCAGACGGACGGAAGTGCCGAAGTGCCGTGCTAGTGCGTTCGGGGGTTGGGCCCAGACGGGCAGGGACAGCGCTCGCGCCCGGGGTGGCCTGTGCGCCAGCGCAAGGTGGCCGGACCCGGGACATCCCAGCCTAGCATCGCCCAGAGATGCCTGCGTCGTCCTGGCGTCCTCCTGCGGTCGCACACGCCCGAGCGCTGCAGCCTGGCCGCTCGCCCCCTCCTGTGACCGTTTCCCACCTCTGTGCTCCTCCGCGCTCCCTCTGGGCTCTGACCTGGCGCCCTGCCTCACCGCCCTACTTAAGATCACATCACCCTGTTCAGACACTACCTGTCCCCCGTCCCTGCTTTAAGTCTCCATAGCACCAGCTGACACACTCTATATTTTGCTTCCCCCACTGGAAGGAAAGCTCCGTGAGGTCACAGATTTTGTCTTTGGTTCACTGCTGTATCCTCAGTACCTAGAAGAGTAGGGTTATTGACTGCGGTGGGGAGGCAGTAGATATTTGCTCACCGAATCAATAATCACCATCATAGCTAATGTTTCGTGCTTGCCATGGCCAGACACGGTAACAAGGCAATCTCCATGCTCTTGAATTAAACAACTTCCTGTGGTCCTGGAGACCTGTCAGCATCCCCTGCCACATGGGCTCAGTTGTCATCAAGCACTGTCGCTGCTTCCTTCAGGTCTGTTGTCTTAGGGGGGGCTTTCATTCTCATGCAGTCCCCTTGGAGCTGCAGCATGGCCCCAGTGGGACCAGACTCTAGGGTTCTCACCGAGCTTCCTCCTATGACTTCCAGCTTAGGAGAAAGTTACTGAGGCCTTACAGGAACCATGGGCAGCCAGGGCCCTTGTCACTGCCCTGTCTTGAGGCCTGTGGCAAGGTCGTCAGCAGGACCCTGCCCTCCAGAACCACTTCCTCTGCTCCCCCCCTCCCCCAAGCACAATGTCTCACCCAGTGGTGAATGGACATCTGTCTCCTCCCAGCTGTACCTGCCCCCAGCACACCTCCTGGCCCGGACGGACTCTCAGAATTTGACTGATGAGTCAATAAATAGTCCCAGGTTCTGGAAGTTCCTCAGAAAACTTTTAGCCAAACATCCTTCTCTTATGAAACTTGTATTTAAGTACTCAAAAATAACAACAAATTTGACTTGCAGGACTTTAAATCTGCAGGACAATTTGCCAGTATGACTTTGGGGGACGAGATCAATGATTTGATTTTTGTAAAGTCAACTACTTTGTGAATGCGTAGGAGACTCTGAGGGAAGCACTTCATTGTTGTGCCTTTGCACAAGTGGAGAACTTGTGGTATCTATTGAATTTTCAAAAAATGTCATTTTGTATTTAAAAATCATAAAAGGAAAATTATAATTTTGGGAATCCCTAAAATAACACCAACTAAATGGGATGGGGCGTCGGGGTACCGAGTCCTCACGGCTGGGTGCCTTGAGGAATTCTCCCTCCACTGTAGGGTGTTGCACTAGGATGAAAAGCTGTCCTTTATGGCACCAAGTGCGTGTGGCTCGCATATGCTCAGCCTGGAGGCAGGCATCGTTACCTCCAGGTCCAGGTGAGGAGGTGACTTAGGACAAGGGTGTGGGGCAGAGCTGGGACCAGGCACCTCCACCACCTGCACCGCCTCTCTGCTGCTCTCTGTGCCCCCAAGTCCCTGCACCTGCAGGTCCACATGGCCCCTTCTCTTAGACTCACTGTGGAACACACTGGTGGGAGGCAAAAGAAGGAAGCTCGGCCCAGATTCCTGGAGCCCGGCCACTCTGCTGGAGAATATTTCCCCAGGCTGAGTCATTGGGGTTTAGGGGCTCCTGTCCTGCTGGAGGCAGAGCTTCCCTCTACTGGGGCCCTAGCTCAGGGACTGTCCTCCCCAAACACAGCAAATATACCTGGGAGCAGCCCAGCAAGGAGGGCCAGGAACTGCTCCCCTTCTCAGGAAAGTGCTGCTGAGGGGTGCATGGAGTGAGGGTGGAGTGGGGGCCTGGACTCAGGGCAGAAGGCTTGGGTTCCTCCACTACCTGCCAGCCGTGTGACCCAGGTAACTCCTCCCCTCCGTGCCTCAGTTTCCTCATCTGCAAAGTGAGGATATCACTGCCTGGTTCAAGTAAATTATAATGCCGTGATTGGCAGGTGTGGCCCCAGGAGGGAGGTGGAGGTTGTTATTGGTCACTCTGTGTCCTCTTCTCTCTCCTCAGGTTCAGGGCAGGGTCCTTCTCTTGACCAACTGTGCAGCTGGCATTGGTAGGACTTTGCAGTTTGGCTACAACCTCTCAATCATCAATGCCCCAACCTTGGTATGTATCCTCCATGCCCACTGTCACTGTCTGAGTGGGTGCGGGGTAGAGGCTGACAGCTGCTTGCTGTGGGAGCTTCCATCCACTTGGTGGCACTCTCTCCCACGAGTTCCCCTCCACTGGGATGTCCCACAGGCTCCTGCAGGTTCACACTGAGCTCTGCGTCCTCCTCCAAACCTGCATGTCCTCCTGAGTCCCTAATCTCAGCAGATGACTCCACCTCCCGCCTAGTGATGAGGGGTCAGCCTTGACTCTATCTTTCCCTCTCAGACACTAAGTCCTTCCTGACTAGCCCTAGAATCCAGCCACTTCTCCCAGGACTCTGCCACAGCCCAGCTCTGGTCCAGCCTCCTCACTGGCCTCCCTGCCTTCAGGCACTCCCATTCCTGATTCCTTCAAGTTGTCAAGCCACTCCCTTGCCCAGAAACATACTGTGGCTCCCCAGTGCCTACAGGAATAAGGACAGGCTCAATCACCTGAAGTTTAAGCTCTCCTGGAATGAGAACCTCACCCCTGTCTCTCACCTTCCCCCAACCTGATAGCAAAGCAAGGGGGGTAATTAAGAAAGTTAATAATCTTTATGACCATCAGCTATGTGACTCCTGAGTAGCAATTATAGGAAAGCAAAAGGGACAATGGCTGGTTATATATATTTTAACTATGCCTATACCTTTGCAGGGTTCAGGCCCCTACCACAGTTCCCACCTTATGGCCCTTTATTAATTTTATAAAGGGTGGTTTCACTACCCCAAAGGGGCAAGTGGAAGGAAAGAGCACTGTGACATGGGCGCCCTGGAGAGGAAGGTCGCAGCCAGCCTGAGGGGACCTCACAGGGAGGAAGTGGGGAACAAACACTCCACCCTCCCTCTCCTCTGATGTCCTGCTGGTCTTCACCCTTGATTGGGTCCAGCAGAAAGCTGGTCAGCCAGGGAGCCCCCTGGTGTAGGCTGTAGAGGTGGCTTCCTGGGGCAAAAGGAGGGTAGGAAGGGGTGCCTGTTCTGCAGAGGCCTGGAGCCCTGTGGGGAGAAGGCCTGTCTTGTCTAGCACCCCCGTCCCATCCGCAGGAGGCTGACTGGCATCTCTGTCCACAGCACATTCAGGAATTCACCAACGAGACGTGGCGGGCACGTACTGGCAGGCCACTGCCCGACCACCTGGTTCTGCTTGTGTGGTTCCTCATCGTGTCTCTCTACCCCTTGGGGGGCCTCTTTGGAGCTTTGCTTGCAGGATCTTTGGCCATCACATTGGGAAGGTAAGTGCATCCTGTGTACTCCTGAATGCCATTTAACGAAGGGCACCCAGGCTGCAGGCTGAGGAACTGGGAGAAGGAAGATGCCCGGCAGGCGTTGGGCACAGATCAGCTCCTCACTGCCTCTTATTCTGCCTGAGATTTCACCTGGGAGTCATATTTCCAAGGAGATTTGAGAGGGGAAAGAGACTGTGCTATGAGGGAGGGTTTCTGTTAATCCAGGTCTGCCAACAAGCGTTACTTGACCTTAAATGAGTATTTTCTCCCTGGGCCTTGCTTTCCTCCTGTGTGTCTGATGTGGTTCTTCAGTTGCAAACAACAAAAACTGATTGTGGCTACTATCATCAAAAATTATGATAACTGGAAGGATATTGGGGCAGCTCAGGAATGAAAGGAAGTGCTTAAAATGCAGGCCTTGCAAAGGGAAACCAAGAAACCAAGGCGGTGCTGAGGGTCTTGACAGCCAGAGCTTTGGACCGTCCTTCCAGGGAATATCCCTTCAGCACAATCAGCTCCAGCCACGTTCTTTCTCCAACATCTTCATTCAAGGTTGTCTTAGTTCGTTTTGTGTTGTTATAAAGGAATATCTGGGACTGGGTACTTTGTAAAGAAAAAAGGTTTATTGGCTCATGATTCTGATAGTTAGAAATTTCGAGATTGGGCAACTGTGTCTGAGGGCCTCGGGCTGCTTCCACTCATGGCGGAAGGTGAAGGGAAGCCAGTGTGTGTAGACATCACATGGTAAGAGAGGATGTGAGCGGGGGAGGAGGTGCCAGGCCCTCTCGGGAACTAATAGAGTGAGATTCACTCACCCCTGAGGAGGACATTCATCTATTCGCGAGGGATCTGCCTCCGTGACCCAAACACCTCCCATTAGGTCCCACCACCCAACTTTGGGGATCAAATTGCAACATGGAGTTTGGAGGGGACAAACCTCCAAACCAAAGCAAATATCCAGAATTCAGAATAACAAGTTGTTATTGGTCTACCTTGGGTCACATGACTACACCTGTGATGTGGGAAAGAGACCATGCTGGGCAGAAAAACAAACGGCTACCACAGTCCACCCCTTAGCTCACCACCAGCACGTGTAGACACCTTCCTTCCGTATGTTCAGCTCCATAAGTGCCCTCACTTAATGTTAGTCAACCATCTCATACACACCAGCATCAGTGTTCACCCCTCCCCCAGTGGGATCGCTCAGGGCGCTGTGACGCAGGTATCCTTCCTGAGCACAGGGTTTCACGTGATCGCTGTTCCTCTGCCAGCCTGCAGTTAGCCTCTCTTGATATTCTGCACTTAACAGTCAGCTCACCTGCCTTCATGACACCCTATGAGGGGGAGAACAAAGAAAGAGGAAAGAAGGAAAAAATTAAGTAAGGAAAAAGAAAGTAGTAGGTGAGTTTATTTTAAAGCATATAATACAGAAAGCCTGGAAATATAAGTAAAGGTTCTATCCCTATTTTTACAACTAACCACAAGGCCGTTCCTTATTACATGACTTCGATTACCCAGTTTTTCACTCTTGTCTTGGGCCAGCACTTCAACTGGATGAGGCTCTTTTCCCATCATGGTGATTCAAATCTTCATTCATTCTTTTTTTTTTTGATACAGAGTCTAACTTTGTTGCCCTGGCTAGAGTGAGTGCCATGGCATCAGCCTAGCTCACAGCAACCTCAGACTCCTGGGCTCAAGCAATCCTACTGCCTCAGCCTCCCAAGTAGCTGGGACTACAGGCACGCGCCACCATGCCCGGCTAATTTTTTCTATATATTTTTAGCTGTCCAATTAATTTCTTTCTATTTTTGGTAGAGACGGGGTCTCGCTCTTGCTCAGGCTGGTCTCGAACTCCTGAGCTCAAACAATCCGCCCCCCTCGGCCTCCCAGAGTGCTAGGATTACAGGCGTGAGCCACCGCGCCCAGCCAAAAATCTTCATTCTTGAGTGGCTTGGTGGTGCTGGTGGTGTGGGGTCCTCAGTGGGTTGTTGCACTCTCTGCTCATCTGTTTCTGGGTGGTGGCGCCATGGTGCAGTAATAGGCTCCCTGGGAACCAGCCCTTCTTCTTTTGCTGCCCTCACTCCCTGGGTTGGATGCAAGATTGCATGGGCAGGAGGTTTGTGTATTGTGTCTCTGTTAGGATGTCTTCAAATGCAAAGAACAAAACCCAGGACTCAGTTGGCTAACACAATAGGAGATCCTTTAATTCACACAACAGAGAACCTACAGGTGGGTGACTTCAGGACTCCATCAATACTCCAGATCTGCCCCTCTGGGATTCCCTTAGCTGAAACCTCCACTGTGGGTCATCTTTGTCCTCGGAGCTGTAGTTGGAAAGCTACAGCAGTGCCTCGCCCAGAGGGGACAACACCCAGCACAAGGACAATTTCTTCCTGGCCAATACTTCGTATCAGAAAGAAAGAAAAAAAAAACTTTCAAAGACGTCGTTGTCGTCGTGTCTCATTGCCAGTGCTGAGTCAGTAGCCACCTTAGTCCGTTTCTGCTGCCACAACAAAACGACTGAAGCTGGGCAATTTATAAAAAACAGAAATTTCTGTTCTCACAGTTCTGGAGGCTGGGAAGTCCAAGACCAAAGCAACGGCAGATTTGGTGTAGGATGAGGGCTGCTCTTTCTGCTCCTGAGATGGAGCCTTGTCCCTGTGTGCTCACGTGGCGGAAGGTGAAAGGGCGAAAGGCCTTGGCTGGCTCCTCTGGCCCTTTTGTGAGCATGAGTCCCAGCAGCGACGGTGGCCCTCGAGGCCTCGCCACCTCCTGGAGGCTCCACTTCTTACGACTGTTGCTTTGGGGCTTAAGTTTCAACATGAATCTTGGAGGGGACACAAACATCCAAACCATAGAGCCACTATAGAGACCAGGACCACCAAGCCTGGGTTAGGCCATCGGGGTTCACACCTGAAACATGTGAAGTAGAGGCACGGCCCCAAACAAAAGGAGCCACTCCTGCACGTAAGAAGGGGGCGGTCGCTGCTGCCCGAATACGCAGTGTTTGCTGGCGTAGCTGGCACAAGCAGGAAGTGGAGGGACTGAAAATTTGAGTCCGATGCCCGTTCTGCTTGTGTGAAACTGCTAGCCAGTCCCCAGTGCGGAATCGGTGCAGTTCTTCTTCTGCTCAGTAGCTGACCGGAGTCCTGAAATTTGTTGCCATTACTGGGTGCTCAGGGTTGGTAGTATAGGGTAGCAGGTCATTAGTCAGCTTGGTGACAGGAAGCTTGCGTTGCGGACCCCGTGTGTGTTTTACGTCCTTGCTACCCTCCTGTTTATGAGCCAGTCAAGCCAGCACTGGGCTGGGCTGGTCACGAAGGCAGTTGCATGCCATCCACAGAGAGGGCCACCCCGCCGTGCCCGTCTGGTTATGAAAGGCCTCTTTGCGTGGTGGGGCCCCTGGCAAGCAGAAAAACATGAACATGTATTTCTTGGGCTGGAAACCAGTCTTCTAATTCTGCTTTGTCTAAGACTTTGTGCAACCAAACCCTTTGAAAAAGGGATAAAATTCCACACTCAAAATCCTTCTGTAGGAAGGGTCCAACTCCTTCAGTATCTTTTAGAGCCAAGCTGATGTGGAAAGGTATTCATTGGATACTTTGGGGCCCACGTGGGGCAAGTTGGCATCTACCACTTCTATTCAGCGGTGGGATGCCATGAGGCACACTCAACCTTAGCAGAAGAGTGTCACAGCACCCAGTTAACGATGGGTACATGGCTACCTGGAGTCCAACAGTCTGGCATTTATGCCCCACTAGGGCCTAGTGACAAGGCCAGAAGCTATTGTCATTAAGAAGTAATGTGCTGACCGGGCGCAGTGGCTCACGCCTGTAATCCTAGCACTCTGGGAGGCCGAGGGGGGCGGATCGTTTGAGCTCAGGAGTTCGAGACCAACTTGAGCAAAAGCGAGACCCCGTCTCTACCAAAAATAGAAAGAAATTAATTGGACAGCTAAAAATATATAGAAAAAAAAATTAGCCGGGCATGGTGGCACATGCCTGTAGTCCCAGCTACTTGGGAGGCTGAGGCAGTAGGATCGCCTGAGCCCAGAAGTTTGAGGTTGCTGTGAGCTAGGCTGACACCAGGGGCTTCGAACCCGGCAAAGAGGTTGAGGACTCGTCCCAAAAAAAAAAAAAAAAAAAGAAGTAATGTGCTGAAATAGAGAAGCTTTACTCAAAAACCTTAGGTTTTGCATTGTGATTCTTTTTTTAGGGTATATTAACTGCCACGGACACTTTGAGCACCACAGGACTTCTAGGGCTGAAGGGTTGAATGGCAGAGCTCTTTGAACTTGGCCTGGACCCACTAGAGAGGGCCCCTCTTGCTTAGCGCCACTCAAAGCTGCCAGGTTTTCAACTCACCTGACAAACGTGTCAGATCATGACACCCGATGTGGTATATACTGCCTCCAAAACGGAAAGACGCTCTCTGAGATTTGTCCCTCCTTCTTAGAGGAAGGCAACCAAGGTGCAGCAATGTGTCATGCACTTTGGAGGAACTGTGCTGACGTATCTGAGTCCACTGGACCTCGGGGCTGCATTGTTGTGACAGTCTTTGATCTTCCACTCTGTCCCCCTCGTACGGGTGCCCTGCTGAGACATCTAGTGCACTCGCTGCTTCCTCTTCTCCGGGTCCTTCCGGCAGGAACTCATCCGAGTAGTGGGCCAGCGGGACACCCTGGGGGATGCACAGGTCCGCGTGGAATGGACTGTGGCCCACAGTGGAGAGCCGCGAGACACACAGGGCAGGTCAGTAAAGGTGTGTTACCGCCCCTGCCAGTGAAAGCTTAGTGTTTCTGTCATTGTCTGTGTACTGAAATGGAGCAAAATGCATTTACCAGATCAGAATACTTATTAATTATTATTCATGGAATTTACTAATCCCACCGAGAAAACCCATATATTATAGCAGTTATAATTATTAGTTACAATTGGAATTACCACCAGATCAAGTTGTTGTACTCCATTGTCAATTTTCATTCCCTGGACACAGGGCTCCCGAGCTTTGGCCCATGTCCTGTCACGGGCGAGCTGCTGGCTCTGAGCAGAACACTAGCCTCTTCTGGTCCTCACTTTCCCAGCCAGCACTGTGAGCTCCCCTGGGGGATCTATGTGGCAGCACGTCTGAGCTCAATAGCAGGAGCCAAAGCTAGTGCTTCACCATGGTGGGACAGGTGACATTTCCAACGTCCTTTTCTTGGTTTGGTGTCTGTCCTGTTGAGCAAGGCACCAGCCATCCTGGGGTTTCTGACAAGTGACTCTGTAATGCATGGAGGACAATGCAAGGGAACTGTATTTGACTTTCCATGAATTTCTTCCTTCCCTTATAAAAGTCTCTGTTCTTGCTCCCTAGGGTTTTACTGAGTCTGAGAAATGATATATTAGTCTCATCATTTCACACAGTTTGGGGAGAACAGTGCTTACTCTGAAGGGGAAAAGCCATAAAACATAAATTCCGTTATTTGAAGCCATGGTACAGCAGACAGGAGAGTAATTTGGGGGTGCATTGTGGGCGAGGAGAGTGGTGATCACGGCGTACCCCAGGGAGCCTGGGCAAGTGGCGGCCATTTCCATCCTGGTGACGCGTGTGGTCACACACACATCTGTGTGTCTGATCAAGGCCGGATGGAGTTGCAAAGAGGGGTCCCCAGGGATTGTCCCTCCAGACTGAACTGGGTCCTCTCTTGTGTCCCTCTCCCGCAGGAAGAAGTCCCTTTTGGTGAATAACACCTTTGTGGTGGCCGCAGCGGTCCTGTTTAGCTTCAGCCGAAAAACCGGCTCCTTCGAGATGCTCATGCTGGGATGGCTGCTCGTGGGCAGCAGTGCAGGTGGGGCTGGGGCACCTCGGCCTGCCTCTCTACTCCTACCCATCCGTTAACCCCCTTTATTTCTTCCCTCCCTTCGTCTATTTCCTTTATTCGTTGATTTATTTCCTATTTATACCCACCTTTTTTTGCAAAACGATGAAATATGGTTTATCTTGAAAGGCTCATATAACTAGGCATTTAAAGTAGATATAGAAAAATGAAAAAGTCATTCAGGGGAACAAACATTTCCAAACTTACACTGACAGAGGTCCCCGGTTTGAGCAACACTCTAAGCCATGAGTTTCCTTGCAGCCAAGGTGTAAAGGGATATAGGATGAGTTCTCTGATCTTCCCTATAGAAACAGAGTAGCCTGTTAGGGATGCCTCAGTTTCTGGGGCTTATCACATAAGGGAGTGGAATTTTGAGGACATCTACCTGGGCTTTTGGGGGCTCCAATCAACAAGTCACCTCTTGACCTTACGCTCTTTATGCAGCCAGGTGTTGCTGGTCATATTAGTTACCTATACCTGTGAAACACAGTACCCCAAAATTTAGTCGCGTAAAACAACCAACACTTACAATCTCCCATCATCTGTGGGTCAGGAACTGAGGAATGCCTTAGCTGAGTGCTTCCGGCATGGGGGGTCTCTCCTGAGGCTGTGTTCAGCTGTCGGCCAGGCTGCAGTCATCTGAAGGTGTGGCTAGGGCTGGAGGATCTGTGTGCCTGATGACTCCCTCCTGCCGTTGGCGGGAGGTTTCAGCTGCTTACCCTGTGGGTCCCTCCGTAGGGCCGCTTGAGGGTTCTGAAGACATGGCAACTGGCTTCCTCCAGAGTGAGTGATCTGACAGGGGAAGACAGACAGAGACAGAGACACAGACAGAGACAGAGACAATGTGTCGCGGCCTGGATTGCAGAACGGGGGATGGACACAGAAAGAAACACACAGACACACACAAGGACATACGAGACTGCAGTACCCAATTTGTACCAGTCGCTTTATTTATATACTTTTTCTATGTCCGGCAGCTACTTCCTGGTACGTGACTACCTTGGGCACCTTGAGGAAAACACATTTTCATTCCTTCCAGACGACTGCTCAATGGAAGCAGATGGTTGCATCTTAACTTCTTTATCTCATTACCGTATGCAGGACAATGAGTCGCCTTGGCTTGTTTGCAAGACCCCAGGCACTTGGTTATCTGTCATAAAGCCGTCCATCATGAGGAATAGTTCTGTTTGTCCAACAGGCCATGTCCGGACCTATTGTCCTCTGGCCCCAAGGAGAGCACACCCAGTTTCGCTGACTCTGGGCTTAAGCTAATTTTTGCCCAGGGACGATCCCTACACAGTGAGTGCAGGGAAGGAGTTCTAATTCCAGAACTCATACACCATCAGTTTTGCCACATTCTGTTCATGAAAAGGGAGTCCCTAAGAACAGCCCACACTCCAGGGAAAGGAGCCCGGTCAGACTCTGCCTTCACGCGTGAGTGCCCAGCAAACAAGGAATGTCTGTGGGAGAGCAGGGGCACCTCTGGGACTCCTCAGCAGTCAATGCAGCTGCCCCCCTCCCAGGTCCCTCTGCCCACCGTGTAGGAAGAGGGCAGGGCCTTGATGGGAGGTGTTTCCTGGTCCCAGGTCAGAGAGGGGGATGTAGCCGCGGTCCCTGCAGCATTCCCAGGTGTATCGTGCCTGGAGACTGTGGTGTCCTAGCCTTTGCCGTTTGTCACCATCTGGGGAGGGCAGGGGGCGCTCTCCAGCTGTTTCCCCACTGGCTGTGTCGGTGCCAGGGGCTTCTGGGGGGAGCCGGGGTGAGGTGAGAACCTACGGCAGTGGTCAGTGGCAGCACTGGCATGGGCTCTGCCACAGCTGGGCAGCATCCAGGCTGCAGTCCTGCCCTCCACCGCCCACCCCCACAGGGCCCCCCCAGAGCCCTTCACACACAGGTCCCAGGGATGGGACCCAGGAAGATTCCATGGACATGTGGGGTGGAACCTGACCAGGATGGAAGCTGATGTGAGAAAGATGACATCTCTCTCAGAAGTCCCGAGGGCTGGGGCTGGGGTCCTGCCTGGTGGCTGACGTGACCCTGCTGTGCACATGTCTGGGTGTGAGCATAAGTGTCCAGCCCATGTACCTGGGGAGAGTGCCCCCAAGGAGCTCCGAGGAGCCGTGGCCATGACCTCAGCCATCTTCACAGCTCTGGGGATTGTGATGGGACAGGTGGTTGGACTCAGGTGAGTGCCCCTTGCCCACATGCACTGGGCGGTTTCGGAGATGCCCGTGGAAACCTTCCTGTCCCTGAATCTCTCCCCGACCACCGAGTGGGTTAAGGCATCACTGTGCACGAAGGCATCAAGTCCCTGCCCACGTCCCTCCGGCCAACACACGAAGCGGGCATCGGGCAACACCCTCCAGTGTGAGTCACCTTTTTCCATCCTCTCCAGGTCGGGGAGCAAAGGCCAGGTCTCTACAGAGGAGAAGGCAAAGATTTGGGATTTTAAAGGGGAGTGTGTCCTGGTCACCCCAGAAGAAAGAGGAGATGGCAGAGCCTAGACCCCTGGGCAGAGGGGTTGCTAGGGATGAGATGGGACAGTGGCCCTGCCCTCTCTTGGTCCCTACCTGGCGGGGGAGGGTCTTGATGTCCAGGCCCAGAGCTGGATAGGAAGAGGCACGGGGTGGTGCAGACCCTCTGCAGGCTGGTGGGCTGGGGGCGGGGAGAGGGCTGGGGGAGAGGCGGGCAGGGCTCTGGCAAGGAGCATCAGGCCTGGCCTCTCCTCTGCCTCTCCAGGGAGCTCCTGGGTGGCCCTCAGGCCTGGCCCCTGCTGCTGGCCAGCTGCCTGGTGCCTGGGGCAGTCCAGCTTGCCTCCCTGCCTCTGCTCCCTGAGAGCCCACGCTACCTCCTCATTGACCATGGGGACACCGAGGCCTGCCGGGCAGGTGAGTCCCCGCCCTTAAGTCCCCAGACCACCCTTGACCAAGGGGTCTCAAGGTCAAGGGATGGAGAAACTGAGGGCTGGGGGCATGAACTCAGGGATGGGTGAAGACCAGGGCCCGTGAATGTGTTCTCAGTTTGCCATCACAGTCACAGTTACTGTTTATGTCTCACCCTGTGCAAAATATGTTCAATCCCAGCCCAGGCCCCCCGGCGTTCATCCAATCATGGCATCAGGCTCGAAGCCCCAGATTTTAAGATCACATGAAGTCTGTATGTGCCTTTTCTTGATCCAGAGCCCTAGGATCTTTATATTTTTATTTTTTTATTTCAAAAAAATTGAGGTTCCACCGAGATACGAGCTCAGATCGCCACATTCAGAGTGCAGAATGCTCACCAGAGCCCTAGGATCTAAACAGACAAGTCTTCCCCTCCCGCATGCAGCATACAGTGGTGAAAAGTGAGACAAGGTCACCAGAATTCATACGCATTTCAAAAACGAGGAGGCAAGGAAGGCACAGAGCATCACTGATCCATAAAATCCTAAAGTGCCCCTGGGGAAATACGCCAGGTCCCCGCCTGGGGGTGGAGAACGTACGTTGTCAAGCTATGGCTCTGCCCCCTCGGAGGGGCTCCCCAGGCCCTGGGTCTCCTGGTTCTCGCTTCCGCCCTGTGAGATGGCTTTTCTCTTCTGCCACCTTTCTTGATACCCTCTGAAGAGGGCATTGCAAGGTGTGCTGCTTTTGGTGGTTGAGCCAATTTCTCAGCCTGCTTCCTTGCTATAGAAAGTTGAGGCACAGAAGTCTTTATATTTCAAACTGTTCTAGCCTCTTTTCGTCCCAAACTGGCAGAGCTTTTGCCAATACAACTTTCTCAAAAACCATGTGAGTTTTCTATGTATTTGATTTATTTATGTGCCAATGAGACACATCCACAATTCTTTTTGAGACAGGCTCCTCTCCCAATCACTGGTACTTAAGCCAGTACGGCCTTACGCTCCCTTTTCCAGCTATGAGCGTTTATGAGGCTCTGCTTTAAGCCACACCCTTGATTTGACCTTTATTCTGAGTCTTTGGCTTCCTGGCCGTGCTGTGGATTTGATTTTTGCTCTCAGGCTGTAATGTAACTTGAGCCTCCTTTGCTAGCTGGAGAGGCTAGACATGAGAGAAAGTTTTTTGTTTTTAACCCAGAAATTTCTGGAATATATTAAATTTAATTAAATTTTGTTCCCTCCGAATTCCACTTGCAAACTGGCCAGTTCTTTTTTGAGCTCATGACTCACAGTAAGTATAGAATACTCAGCTAAAAGCAACCAGTTTATGCTTTCTTTTTTTTTTTTTTTTTTTTTGAGACAGAGTGTCACTCTGTTGAGCCTCCTTTGCTAGCTGGAGAGGCTAGACA